TGTCTTTCGACTCAACTGTGTGACTCGAGGCTGAAAATGCTCTTGCCGCATCGGTAGCGTTTACCTCCTGTGTGCAGGTCAGGCTTCGTGTCGGTGCCCAATGAGTGATGATTTGTGCCTGGCTGCTGAGGATCCCTGACTTCTCGTGCTGCCCTGGAAAGGGGGGACAGATCTGCATCCCCACAGATGCGTTCTGCCTGAACAATCCCTTCTGCTTTATTGGCTGTTCTGGGTTTATTTGAAAGCAGCTCAGCAATACAGTATTACTGTATGGTAGCAATTTTTCCTTGGAGAAGAGGCCTCTGGAATGTAACGGTGTACTTAATGGACTGCAATTATTTAATATTGTAGCATGAATGCAGCCTAACTCAGATGGGCTTTACAACGGGGATCATAATGACTGTAATTGCAATGGGATGCCTTGCCGAAGGAGAAGCTGCCAGATGCAATGCCATTCTGATCTAAAAAGGTCACACTAAAAGGGACATTTAAATTAAGTTATAAATTACAATTGAAGAACAATATTTTGATGAGCGAGACCAGAGATGTCAGAGCTGCAAGATGTAATTCATGGGTTCATTACTGAACAGAGGTGCCTGACAGCTGAGCCATGCCAAAAGGAGAATTTATTTGCAACATCACACAGACAGAAAATGGCAGCTGAGCTGAGAGGCGGCGGTGGAAACTTGAAGCCTTGTGGTAATGTGCAGCTCTGATGCTAATAAGGCTTCCCTGTGATCCAGAGTTGTTTAATGGCTGTTGGAATATAAATGGGCTTTCAGGATATGTGCATTTTCAGAATGCCTTTAATCTAAAATCTGGTCCAGCGATGCAGAAATGGCTTTATTTTCTGTTTGAAGGTGTGAGTACATTTGTGTCGATTCCTTTTGTTGCACTTGTGTACATACATCACAGCACAGCGGGTTGGAATTCAGATGGCAGATTTTTTAACACTGAAAACAGTAATTCTCGTGGTGACAGGATGGTAATCTCGTGTTTATAGCAATACTTGACAAGTTCATCCAGAAGTTAATTAAACCATAGGCAGTCATCATTAGCTGTTATTTATATGTTCAAGTTGCTTGCCAATAAAGCGTTTATATGTATGAAATGACCAAAGGCAATCAGCAGAGAAGGATCCGTCAGCGAGGCTGAAAGAAGCAGATTTAACTCTGGCTCTTGCCCAGAAACACACATCTCCTTTTGCTGCATTGTCCTGCTGCATCCTAAAGCATTTTTCCCCTCTGTAAAAGTCACGTTTTCAGGGAGGTGCTGCTGACAGAGTGAAGATCCCCTCCTGGATACACAGAGGCTTTGGCACTGCTGTGTGTTTTGTGAGGGGGAGGGAACAGAAGCACTGCTATCAACACTGCTGGATTGCCGAGGTGAAAAATCTTCTAGGTGGTGGCGTGTGCTGGGGGAAAAGCATTTGCAAGGTGAGCTGGCAAAGCCAACAGTCCTCCTGATGTTGGGGTGGATGTGTTCCCAGTGCTGGAGTGAAGATGAGGAGAAAAATCAGTGCATGCTTTATAGAAAAGACTTATTTTCTTGTCTTCGGGTAGGTAGTGCATACCATAGGAGGCTTAAAAAAAAAAGAAAGGTTATAGAAGCTGTTTAAAATAGTGTTGCTTGAATATTTGTGCTGTGTGTGGGCATTGCCTGGCTGCTGCTCTTATCACTGGGGCTTATGCAGGGGTACATCCCTGCTCCAGTGGCATGGAGATTGTACTGGTAGGTTGTGTGTTGAGATGCTCTGTTGTACACAGGGAAATGTCAGCTGTGGCAGTGGGTTTGGAGGCAGTGGGCTCCATGAAGCACTCTCAGGTGATGGCTGGCAATGGGATGTGCTGCTGGTGGCCCTGGTGTGCCATGAAATGACTGCTGGCAGCTGGCCCTTCTGTGATGTATGTATGGTTGGATCTGCTGCACAGAGTACAAGTTGTACAGGTGCCAAATCAAATGCTCGAGTAAGTGGGAAATGATTCTGATGTAGTTTTCTTCCTTGTTCCCATTATATTACCAGGCAAAGTATCAGTGCAGTATTGGTCTCAGCTCCAAATGTGAGCCTGACTTCAACTGGTGGTAAGGGAAGAATGTTGAGGCAAGCAAATGCAGCTGTTTGTTCTAAACCCACATTCCATATCACTGTCAGAGGTCTTTGCAGTGACCTTTCATTCTTAGAAGCACGTAACTTTCTTTAGAAAAGTCCCTCAAGCATAAGCAAATGCTGAACGCCTCGGTGACTTGCAGGAGGTGAGAGCACCTTATCAATTCAAGAGCTGTTCCTGTTGTTACTAGAAGTTTTGAGCCAGTCTGTGCAGAGTACAGCCCAGTGTGCCAATTGATTCTTTGCTGCAGCTGATGAGGCTTCCATCCCACTTGCAGGAGCTGTGCATGCAGGAGGATGCTTCTGATTTTGCAGCTGACTGCTGTCTTGTGTGGCTTTGGGCCTCTCTCAGGTGTTCAGGAGGGATTTTTGAGTTGTTGAGTTGTTTTCTGGAAACTCAGCTTGCAGGTGTTACAAAGGAGCACGAAATTACTCGGAACTGAAATTCCACAGCGAATAGAATAAATGAGCTGTTATTTCCAATATAACATTGAGACTTCACAAGGAAAAAGTAATTCCTAGCGTGCTTCGTACTGCAGATGGACTGGCTGTGCAGAATGGCACAGTCTGTTCTGTGGCATCCATGGGCAGAACGCTGAGATGCTGGTGAAGTAACAGGGACAATCGTGTGCCCACAATGCCACCGCCTTGCAAAGTGCCCCATTGCAGCAGGCTGCAGTGCCTGGTGTGAGATGGGCACTGCAGCCTGGGAAGTTTCCTGCCCATTTATGGCTTTATTTTTTGCAATAAGTTCACTTTCTCAATAAAAAAGGGTGTTCACAATTGCACCAGCTAACAAAAGCCTGCAGCGGTGTGAGGGGACGAGGCAGGGTGCAGAAGTGGGCGCTGCACAGATGGGTTTTGTTCCCACAGCTGCAGAGCCCTGCTCAGCTGTTCTGCTCTGTGGCTCAGAACTGGGGGGTTCTGCTGAAGGAAGCATTTTGCATGCGTCCCTCATGCCCGTGTTTTGCTGCGTGTGTCCTCTCAGATGAACTCCGTTGCCATTTGCTTTCATTCCTTCTGCAGCTTTTGTACAGTGGCCTTCAGAGTCAATGCTCAAACCTTCCTGAGACTTTATTTACTGTGACAACTGTTCAAAACTGGTTTTCAGTGGAAATTAATTGTTATTATTAGTCTCAGTAAAATAAAAACCTCGTAGGGTCAGTGATTTGCTTTTCCCCCTCCTATCTATCCTGATTCACAAGTCTTTCCTTTTCTTGATAGGAATCACCTACACTTGATGGTAATTAGTTGGAATTATTTCCTTATTGCAGCTTTCAGCAGTCTCTGATCCACACCACTGCGTTCAGTATGAAGAGTTGGGATGGAAAAGTTGTTGTGCCCCACAGAGCTTATGGTGTGAGCTGGACCAAGGGGAAACAGGAGATCACAACCTGGAGGTGGCCTGGGTGGGAGGGCTGCAAGTGCTGTCAGATGTTCATAATCACTATTTCTGAATTGGCTGAGGTACAGGAAGCTGAAGTGAGCAGCAGTAAGAAAGCAATCTCATGCTATTTCTGTTGGAAGCAGAATTCAGGTCTAAGATTTGAGCCTTTTGACATGAGAAAAATGAGATTTTTTTTTCTGCTCCTGCAATCGGGTTTTGGTGTAGCTGCATTAATAGTGACAAAGTAGTTAATAGCTCCTCACTGTTCAGTAATTTTATCTCCATCCCTGTTCAGTTCTCCAGTCTTGGGAAAAGTCCAGGAGCTGTACTTGCTGAAATGTTGCCTGAGGGCAGTGGGCTGCTGGAATAGCAGCATGGATGCTTTGGAAGAGTGGGATGCAAAGGGCTTGGAATAAATTCTGGGCAAGAAGAATAGCAGGAGGTAATCAGTGTATGGAGTCATATTTTGGTTACCCAGTCTGTGGGTCAGTAACTTTGGTGTGCACCTTGGTTAGAAAAACTTGCTTGTTTTTATAAACTCCCTTTATAGGAAGTTTGCATGCAAATCATTCTTCGGGTGGGGGGAGATAACTCAGCTTCTGTCATCCCAGCAATGTGTCTTCTTCTTTTAGATCACTTTCAGAAGACATAGAGCAGGCTCCTGACTTGTCCTCTGGGTTTCTTAAATCCCACTGTACTTGGAGGGTAGGACAGGCAATAAATCAGGGGCCTGCTGTGTGTTTTCTATCACAAGTTCAGAGCTGGAGATTCTCATGGTTCACTGCTGCATGTTTTTCCCCCCAGTGTGGCTGTTTTTTCTCCTTCACCCTGATTTAAATGCCTGCTGCCTGCTTCAGACAGCGTTTGATCAAATAGCTATCTACTTTATGGTAGAAAATAGGCTACGCTGTAGGCTGTGACCATCTGAAATGGTAATGTCAACTTAGACATCCCTAGTTGCCTTCATGTACTCCTGTACTCATCTGTAGCGATCGTTTCTTTTCCATATATGTCTTTCAACCACGCACTGGTCTTTGCAATGCAATACAAATCTGTCAGAAGAGCTTTCTGGATGGTAAACTTGACATTGCGTGGCTTGTAATCCCTCCTGTGTGTTGGTGCTTCCAGTTGGCTGCACTGATCTAAACAAAATGCTGCTGCATAAAAGGCAGCTCCTTTTGGGAAGGAGGGTGGTGGAGCTGTGTGAGGTTTCCTTGGAGTTTCTGATGTGAAAGATACATTTTAAAAAGTCAACCAAAAATCTTCAGCGGCCTCAAATATCACCTGGGAGAAATCCAGGAAGGAAGAGGAAAACAAACTTGTTTTAATGCTGTCTTTTCTACTAATAAAACGCTAATTACCTTCAGGTTGTTTAAATTTCAGATCATATATCAACAGTAGAAATAACGAGGTGTAGAGCATCTCATGTGGCCCCTTGGAGTGCTTTTCTCCTCTATCAGATCACTGCTGATTCCACTGAACGTTCTGTTTGTCTTTATTTTTCAGCTACATGAAAGTAACTACGATGCTGGAAAAGCCCTGCAGCGCTTGGTGAAGAAGCCTGTGCCCAAACTGATTGAGAAGTGTTGGACTGAAGATGAAGTGGTAGGGAAACAAATTATATTCCCTTCAGCCTTACAGTTCGTGTTCCTTCTCTTCTTTCATTTTTTTTTTTTAAATGTTATTTTTATGGGAAATAAGGCAAATAATTTGCTACACAGGATGAAGTTTTGCCCGAATCTGAGTTGTTGGATCCTCGCTCAGTGTCCAGAGATTCGTGAGGATCCTCCTTATGCTGGGAGTAGGAGGGGAGGAGGTTGAGCAACTTTGTGAGGACTCTGTAGGGTAAGAGAACAGCTGGAAAACCTCTGGGCTCTCAGTTTAACTTCTGCTTTCACCTCCAGGCAGGCTGGCCCCGTTCATTAATTGAAGTAGGACAGGAGGTGAAAGCACATTACATATTGTCCCTGATTTGGACCTGCTGGTGTTGGAGGAGGCTTACAGCACCAGCACAGGCTGGCAAAAGGGAGGTTAGATAGCAGGGTTTCCCCTGCACGGAGGTTAAGTCCCTCCTTCCCCCTCACATGAGATACTAGAAATTGTTTACTGACAATTTTAGTTTAGACAATTTTAGACTGTTTAGTTCTTGATGAATGAGCCTTTGCTAAAGGACAGAACAAAAGAAGGTAAGAGGAAAGGTGGGATCACACCATCTCTACTTACATTCAGGTATGCAGAAGCTGTCAGGCCCCAGAACTCTGCTGAAAACAGGACAGCCATCTTATCCAAAGATACATCTGAAATAATGTATGGACACGATGGATTTGGGGTAAACACCAGTGCAGTGCTGTGATCTCATGGTTGGGAGCTGAGATTGCTGGGGGATTTGCACCCATTCAGGGCTGGTTCTTCTCTATAGCACTTGCAGGTTGTTGCATACCCTGTGGGTATTGGTTTGAGGTTGTCTTTTTCTGGAATTTGGGGGAGATGGTATCTGTGCAGAAATTAAGAAGGCAAAGGTGCTTCTCCTTGTGGTTGGTTTGTTCTGCAGTTTAATTGCTGCGGTTGTGAGTTTGCTGCTGGCTTAATTTTTATAGGTATGATATAATGCAACTGTGCTTATAAAAGTGAAGTGTTTGGTAGGCTTGTAAACAACAATAAATCACATGAGGTTGGGAGCAAGTAGTCGATTGTTAAGTTGCTGGCAGCTTGTAAGCAAACCAGTTCTTATTCCTGAGGACTAAATAGCAATATTTGCTGCGTTTCTTGCAAAAGCTGCATTTTCTGGTAGTCTGGTTTATCACACCCTGTGGCTTAAGCCAGCACTCACGTGTCTGATTGTGAGCAGAGAAATGCTTGTGCATTTGTTGCTGCCCGTCAGCAGAAAAGTGCTGACCGAGTTCGTTTGGATCGCAGCCCAAAAATATTGTGCATGTTAAGGCCGATGGTGAATGCGTTCAACGCAGTGGGTTTGTGGGGGATGTAAGCTGTAAGGAGATGTGCCTCCCCAGCACGCTGCACACGGCGTGCACAACCTGAGAACATGGAGAAATGCTATTTTGTAGGTCAGTAATTAGGCTGTGGTGTGCAGTAAAACAGAAAAGCAACTCTCCCCTCAGTTCGGTAAGAGCTGGATGAGGGTAGGCAGGGCTGCAGAACCGCCTTGAAGCAGGCTTGGTCTGAAATGCAACAGAGAGCCTTTGTGGTTAGAGAGCGCCTGAAGTGGTGGAGTGGCAGAGGACGGTGTGCCAGCAGAGCAGCGAGGAGAGGATGAGTAAAAAAGCTGAGAACACAGCTTCCTCATAAGGCTGTCGGTCATCTTGTCACCACAGGGCATTTTGTTTGGGGCAGGGCTGCTGGAACAAATACCTCCTGTGTTCGGTGTGTTTGTGCTCGGCTGCTCTTCCCTGTGTTCTCTGCACGCATTCTTTCCGTAGGGCGGTTGAATTGTGCACTGCCAACTCCTCTTTTTCTGTGCAGAGTATTTTTCGCTCTCCTTGTGGTTTCCATCAGCTGCACTATGCGGAGAATGTCAGAGCTGCTGCAGCTCAGGGGTTTTGATCAACGTTAAATGATAGGAATAAAACCTTACAAATAAGAAAAAGCGAGGTTTATTGAGAAGTGAAACATGACTCTGAAAGCGCAGACCCTGTGAGTACAGAATAATGATCATTAACTCTATAAATCATTGTCAGTCGCAGCTCATTTTATCATATTTGTTCCTGTTCTGTTCCTTCCAAGTTTCCAGAAACGTTTGGCAGTCCTCCAGCCTCAGCAGAGCCAAAGATCAAACTGTGCTCTTATTTATAGACGGCTAAGCTCCACCTGCAGAACTTCATAGCTTGTTTGTCCCTGGCAGTTGGTAGAAAACTCCAGATTAAAGCAGCTGTAGTGCACTCCTGAGCCTTCCTGGGGCTTGCAAGGCAAGTTTCCTTGCTGCTGGCTCTGCAAACCTGAGGAAAGCTCTTCCCGTGTGACATGCAGAGTGCTACAGCTGCACGGCAACTCTATGCCAGTGTGTTTTGCAGAAGGAAAGTGGAAGACCCAGATCCAAACAGCGTCCCTGTTTGTGTAGGGCTTAATCTTTTCCTGTGGCCCAACAGGGAACTGCCTGGTTAATTTCTGTAACTTGTCTTAAGCAGGAAGGTACTGCATCAGTACTGAGCTCTGACCGGTTAATGTCCTTAACTGGGGCTGGGGGGGGAGCTCTGTGCTGTGAGAGCTCTGCTGGTGCTCTCCTTCCCTCCCCAGGCTCATTTGGTTGTGCATGTGATAGCCTGGCTTTATCCAGCACAGCCCTCCATGGCACTTAATAGTATTTATGATATAACACCGTACCAACGGCTCACATTTATTGTAGTCAGCTTTTAACTGTTGTTGTGGACCACGTGTTGCCTAAAGACTGAGCCTTTCTTGTTAATGAAGCCTACTTTGCTGCCTGTGACCAAAGCACTCCGTCAGAGCTGCCTCGCGGTGATCGGGACTGATTAAAATAAAGGATGGAAGTTATTTTTGCTGCTGATGAAGTGCTTACAGATCTTTAGATCAAATTAAATAGAGGGTAAAATTTACCAGTGATTGAATTAAATGGAAGGCTCAGTAAATATGAAGATGGAGGCTTGCTGTCTCCCTTGGGTTTCTAAACCTTTGGCTATTTTTAACCTTCCTCATTCCTGTATGTAAATTCAGGGGTGTGCTGTGAAAACCAGTCTTCCCTGCTGCCTCATCGAACCGGCTGAAGCAACTTCTGCTCTGATGCATCTATGAGCAGACTGAGCAGCAGCTGCTTCCTGTTTGCAAAGCTGTTGCTCCACCATACAGCATCCATCCCAGCAGTGGCTGGGTGAGCAGAGCTTGGCTTCTAACACCAGCGGTCAGACCTGGTGGTGCTGAGCTGCAAGCAGGAGGCAGTGCAGTATGAGGTAGGTGCAGTGCTTGGGCTGGAGCTGATGGCAGTGCCTTGTGCCTTCTCACGCAGGAGAAATGAACTCTACCTGCATCTCACTTGCACCTCTGAAAATGGCTCAGTGTGCATCTGTGATGGAATCCAGGCGTTGTTGATACGAGCAGTCAGAAAATCCCTATTAGGAATGGCGTGGTGCCGGGCAATTCATCTTTTCCAGTTGGAAGCATTTCAAAAAGTTACACTGAAAATGTATTTTGAAACATTGAGTTCAGAGCTTTTTGTCTTTGGGGAATGGCTGCAGTGAGCCCGAAACTGTGAGCACCTCTATTTAAACTCTGGAGCTTGTCTCGAGGATGTGCCGCTTTGCTTTCCCAGATGCCAGGCCTGGAACCGCAGTCATTTGGTGCTTTCGGTTTAGGTGGGATTGAAACACCCATGTTTTCTGAAGTGGTTTCAGTGGAAATATTTCACAAGAAAACATGTCCTAATGGGATTTCCACCCTCGTGAGGCCAGATGAGCTCTGAAAGCAGCTTTCAGCATTTCAGTGCTGTTCGGTACAGGCCTGAGCCCAGCCTTGCTCCAGGTCCATAAGTGAGCTTTGTGTGCCCGGCGCTTTGATGCCGTAGGTAACCATCAAACGACTGTCCTTACAAAGAGCACAACGTTCATCTTAAGTTCTGTTAATTCAGTGGTGTTCGATTCTGCTGTGCCTTACGTGCTGGGGGTGGTGGCAGAAACAGCCCTGTTCTTTGTGCAGCCGTTCTGCTGATTCGCTCTCCTGTTTTGTTTATATCCAGAATGTGCTTTTTTTCTGCCTTTTTATCAAAAGTAGCACCCAAATCAATATGGCTTAGGGGAGAGAGAAATACAAATCAGAACTAAAAGAACCTCTAGTTTATTAGGTTTTTAATTAAACATGATGAACACATTTTAAATAACACAAAAGCCTCAGGCTGAGCTGCATCGAATCGAAACAGATTAAGTCACCCGTCCACACTTGGGTAGTTATTAATTCTGTTTATTTATGCATGCTTGCTGAAGGCAGAGTTCACTGCTGCTGCGTGTTGCAGTTGTTGCACAGGGAGGCTTTTGCTGCATGGAACAGTGCTCCTCATTAGCATGGAGCTGTTGATGATGAAGAACACTGATGGGGCCTTCACAACTCAGGATGGTGTTCCAAAGTTAAGGGAGTCCAGGGCAGGCGGCAGCTCTGCATTATTGGATTCTTGGACCTTGGATTCTTCCTCCCTTCTCTCCTGCCCTCGGTCCCATGTTAAATTCTCCAAATGCAAAGCGTTCCCCAGGAAGGAGGTTTTACCTGTGTGTCTCCGTGCAGAACTGCCAGTGACACGCTGTGACAGCCTTGATAGCTGGCTTTTATCACGAAATGTGCTGCCCTTTAAATATTTTACGTCGCTTTTGATGTAGAGTAGTTGAGGTAAACAACCCAGATTCCAACAGCCCCTCGCGTTGATGTGCAGGGATGGTTAATCCTTGCTGGTGATAAACCTTAATTGGCCACGTACATGGATTTACAAGTTCATAAATGTTAAAAGATCTACACCTGGCTTCAGCTTAAAGCTCATTTGTCATAAAATACAAGTGGAGATCCTTCTGCCAGAAATGACGAGGGAAGGCAAACTAATTCCCAAACTGTGTGTGAGTATTTGTAATCCAGTGGAGCTGGTCAAGACATTA